GGTAGAGATGGGGGGTCTTGCTATGTTGGCAGACTGGTCTCAAACTCCTGGCCTCAAGTGATCCTCTGCCTTGGCCTCCCAAAGTGATGGGATAACAGGTGTGAGCCACCTTGCCTGGCATAGACATTTTTTATGGACTGTCGTAATTCAGATTAAAATGCTCTGGAAAGAATACTTTCCAGTAATGGCATCTCCATCAATGAACTGAAGACAGCGCTGGCTTTGATCCTCTGGGGAACTCATGAACTTGTTTATTTTATTTTATTTTATTTTTGAGACGGAGTCTTGTTTCTGTCACCAGGCTGGAGTGCAATGGCGTGATCTTGGCTCACTGCAACCTCTGCCTCCCAGGTTCAAGTGATTCTCCTGCTCAGCTTCCTGAGTAGCTGGGACTACAGGTGGTGGCTGCCACACCCTTGCTATTTTTATATTTGTAGTAGAGATGGAGTTTCACCATGTTGGCCAGGATGGTCTCGATTTCTTGACCTCGTGATCCGCCTGCCTTGGCCTCCTAAAGTGCTAGGGATTACAGTGTGAGGCCACTGTGTCTGGCCGTGAACTCCGTTTCTAAGCAACTTATATAAATCTCTCCCTTCTGCTAATAAAAGCTTCCTTTTCCCCTTCTATCACCATGTGTACTTGTGGGCTTGCTGCATCCTGGATTATAATCCTTTTCTCCCATTCTCAAATAAAACTCAACATGTTTGGAGATAATTTTTCTTTATGTCTTTTTTTTTTTTTTTTAAGGTTAACAGGATATGATGTCCATGTAACTGAAGTTAAGGTGCTATTTTTTTTTTTTTTTTGAGACGGAGTCTTGCTCTGTGCCCCCAGGCTGGGAGTGCAGGGCGCCGCGGATTCGCGGCTCACTGCCAAGGCTCCGCCCCGGGTTCACGCCATTCTCCTGCCCCAGCCTCCCGAGTAGCTGGGACTTACAGGCGGCCCACCAACCCGCCGGCTAATTTTCTTGTATTTTTAGTAGAGACGGGGTTTCACCGTGTTAGCCAGGATGGTCTCGATCTCCTGACCCCGTGATCCGCCCGTCTCGGCCTCCCAAAGTGCTGGGATTACAGGCTTGAGCCACTGCGCCCGGCCAAGGTTGCTATTTTTTACTTTTTGAGATGGAGTCTCACTCTGTTGCCCAGGCTAGAGGGCAGTGGTGTGATCTCGGCTAACTGCAACCTCCGCCTCCCTGGTTCGAGTGATTCTTCCGCTTCAGCCTCCCGAGTTGCTGGGATTACAGGTGCGCACCACCATGCCTGGCTAATTTTTTTATTTTTAGTAGAGACAGGGTTTCACCATGTTGGCCATGCTGGTCTCGAACTCCTGATCTCAGGTGATCCTCCCGCTTTGGCCTCCCAAAGTGCTGGGATTACAGGCGTGAGCCACTGTGCCTGGCCAAGGTTACTGTCTTAAGAAATTGGAAGTAATAGAGGAGACCAGCCCTTAAAAGGAATGGTAGAAGAGATTGGAAATAAGTGACTAAAGTGTGATGTGGGTGTGATCTCAGGGTGGGGTGAGTGGTTGTGGCAGTAACTGGGAAAGGCATGGGGGCTGCCTAGTTTTTCTCAGAGGAGCCTCCTTAGAGGCAGGGTGAGTCAGGCACCTCTGACAGAGTGCCAGAGGAAGTTCCCAGACCAGCCACCCTACAAGAGGCTGTCCTCTCAGCTACCACAGTGGGGTATTCAGTCATACCTTACAAAGCAGCCTCTAAAGGCCAGGTACCCGGCTTAGTGCTAGAAACCTGGCAGTGAACTAAGCAGCCACACTCCTGTTCTTATAGAGCTTGTTGTCCTGGTGGTCTCCAGGAGGAGCTGGGCATTGAACAAGAAACGACAGCACTCAGTGTGGACACATGGAGTGTAACTGAGCTGCAGAGAAATGTAGGGTGTTGGGAAAGCATGGGACCAGGGACCTGAATTTGATTTTCTACAGAGACACATCTCCACGAAGGGGGCATTCAAGGACAAGGGGACCTTAGTATGGGCATGCATGTCCAAGTTGGGGAGATGGGGAGAGTATTCCAGACAGAGCTGCAAGTGGGCAGGCCCCAGGGCAGCAGACAGTTTGGTGTGGGAGACTTTAAAGGAAGGCCAGGGTGGCCGGGCACAGTGGCTCACACTTGTAATCCCAGCTCTTTGGGAGGCCAAAATGGGCGGATCACCTGAGGTCAGCAGTTAGGTGGGTGTGGTGGTGGGTACCTGTAATCCCGGCTACTCGGGAGGCTAAGGCAGGAGGCTGAACCTGAAAGGTGGAGGTTGCAGTGAGCTGAGATTGCACCACTACACTCCAGCCTGGGCAACAGAATGAGACTCCATTTCAAAAAAAAAAAAAAAAAGGGAATGCCAGGGTGGCCAGGGCGGAGAGGGAGGGTGAGAGAGACACAGGTGAGGGTGAGACTGGAGAGGTGGGTAGGGACTGATCATGCAGGGCCTTGTGGGCCATTATAAAGGTTTAGGATTTTTCCTAAAGTCAGTGGGAAGCCACTGAAAGGTATAAATGGGGGGAGTGATATTATCAGAGTTGCCTTTTTAGGATCCCATGCTGGCTATTGTAAATAGATTGGATAGGAAGGGGCAAGTGTAGATTTTTGGAGATCTATTTGGGGTCTGTGCTGAAGTCCTGGCAGCAGATGAGCAGAGGGTTTTTGGCGTGCAGTGGTGGCCATTGGGGTGTAGTAAAGCGTGTGGGTTAGAGTTATATTTTGAAGGTTATTTGAATAGGAGTTAGTGATGGATTGAATGTGGGGAATGTGGGTTAAGGATGAGTAATTGGGAGACTGGAGATGCTATTAATGAAAGGAGAAAGATTCTCTTTCCACTTATTGGACTGGTTAACACATTCTCTTCCTTTAGTCCTTGGATCAGAGATTATTTCTTTTTAAAATTATTTTTATTTAAAAATAAAAAAAAATTTTTTTTGAGACAGGGTCTTGCTCTGTCACCAGGCTGGAGTGCAGTGGTGTGATCATGGCTCACTGTAGCCTCAACCTCCTAGGCCCAAGTGATACTCTGACTTCATCCTCCCAAGTAGCTGAGACTACAGGTGCTATTTTTTTTCTTTTTCAGGTAAAGTCTTGCTTTGTTGCCTAGGCTGGAGTGCAGTGGTGCGATCTCAGCTCGCCACAACTTCCGTCTCCTGGGTTCAAGTGATTCTCTTGCCTCAGCCTCCTGAGTAGCTGGGATTACAGGCGCGTGCCACCACGCCTGGCTAATTTTTGTATTTTAGTAGACATGGGGTTTCACCATATTGGCTAGGCTGGTCTTGAATTCCTGACCTCAAGTGATCCACCCGCCTTGGCCTCCCAAAGCGTTAGGATTACAGACGTATGCCACCATGCCCAGCCCAATTTTTGTATTTTTTGTAGAGATGGGGTTTCACCATGTTGCCCAGGCTGGTCTTGAAATCCCGAGTTCAAGCAATCTGTCTACCTTGGCCTCCCAAAGTTCTGGGATTATAGGCGTGAGGCACCTTGCCTGGCCTAGTTTTATTTTTATTTTCAGACAGGGTCTCACTGTCACCCAGGCTGGAGTGCAGGGGTATGATCTCAGCTCAGCTCAGCAACCTCTGCCACCCAGGCTCAAGTGATCTCACCTCAGCTTCCTGAGGAGCTGATACTACAGGCATGCACTACCACTCCTGGCTAATTTTTATGTTTCTGTAGAGATGAGGTCTTGCCATGTTACCCAGGCTGATCTCCAACTCCAAGCTGATCTCCATCTCCAACTCAAGCGATCTCCCCACCATGACCTCCTTAGTGCTGAGATAACTGGCGTGAGCCGTTGCCTGGCTTTTTATTATTTTTATAATAAAAAGGGGGTCTTCACTGATCAAATTTTATCTTCTCATTAAAGCCCATGTTGACTTCTCTATTTGAAATTGCAACCCATCCCCAGCACTTTCAATCTCCCTTCTCCCTGCTCTAGCATTACCAGTTTTCCAACATACTATATAGTTTACTTATTTGTTATGCTTTTTGGTTTTTTTTGCCTATACTCTCTGGCTAGAATGAAAACTCTGCTTCAGATACTCCACCGCATGTATCTGAGTTAAAAAAAAAAAAAAAAAAATGAATGAAAACTTCCAGAGCAGGAATTTTTCTATGTTTTTTTTCTTTTTTCTCTAATGTGTCCCAGGAGACTGGAACAGTGACTGGCACAGACTAGTCATTTAATAAATGTTTGTTAGATGAATGAATGTGCATGTATACTAATTTTTATGTTCAGGGAAAAGGAAAACAGGCCAGGAGCAGTGGCTCACGCCTGTAATCCCAACACTCTGAGAGGCCAAGGTGGGTGGATCACTTGAGATCTGGAGTTCAAGACCAGCCTGGCCAATGTAGTGAAACTCCCATATATATATATATATATATATTTTTTTTTTTTTTTGAGATGGAGTCTTGCTCTTGTTGCCCAGGCTGGGGTACAATAGTGCCATCTTGCCTTACTGCAACCTCTGCCTTCTGGGTTCAAATGATTCTCCTGCCTCAGCCTCCTGAGTATCTGGGATTATAGGTGCCCGCCACCATGCCCAGCTAATTTTTGTATTTTTTAGTAGAGATGGGGTTTCACCATATTGGCCAGGCTGATCTCAATTCCTGACCTCAGGTGATCTGCCTGCATCGGCCTCCCAAAGTGCTGGAATTACAGGTGTGAACCATCGTGCCCAGCTGTAAAACTCCATCTTTACTCAAAATACAAAAATTAGCTGGTCGTGGTGGCAGACGCCCATAATCCCAGTTACTTGGGAGACTGAGGTGCGAGAATTGCTTGAATCCGGGAGTCAGAGGTTGCGGTGAGCCCTGCACTACATGGCACTCCAGCCTGGGTGACAAAGCAAGACTGTCTCAAACACAAAAACAAACAAACATAAACAACCAACCAAAAGAAAAGGAAAAGAAACTACTGTGTGCTAGAAGCTTGAAGAAGGGAAGCCTACTCTTGATAACAGAAGAGATTTTCTCCATTTGAATTTCTGACTCTTGTTTCCTTTATTTTCAGGCTGTAACAGAGGAGGAAATGATTTTGAATAGCCTCTCTCTGTGTTATCATAATAAGCTAATCCTGGCCCCAATGGTTCGGGTAGGGACTCTTCCAATGAGGCTGCTGGCCTTGGATTATGGAGCGGACATTGTTTACTGTGAGGTAAGGGCCTCTGATTTTCTGGGTGGGCTTCTCTACAAGTGCAGACTCCTCTTCATTTGTGTGTGGGAGTGGTCAGGAGTTAGCGGGGACAGAATGGGAATTGACTTTATAGGTGCTCACCAAAGGCTGGAGGAGATGAACATGTGTGACTCTGATGAGTCTTGTGCACCCTGCCAAGGCCCAGGAGCCTGGTAGCACGGAAGCGTTCTGGGATACTTTGGGCCGGGTGAATAGATAAGTTGCATGACGTGTCTGGGCAACACAGTGGGACCTTAACTCCATTTTAAAAAATTAAAGAGGCCTGGCACAGTGGCTTATGGCTGCAATCCCAGCACTTTGGGAGGCCAAGGCAGGCAGATCACCTGAGGTCAGGAGTTTGAGACCAGTCTGGATAACGTGGTGAAACCTTGTCTCTACTAAAAATACAAAAATTAGCTGGGCGTAGTGGTACATGCCTATAGTCCCAGCTACTCGGGAGGGTGAGGCAGGAGAATTGCTTGAACCTGGGAAGTGGAGGTTGCAGTGAGCCAAGATCATGCCACTGAACTCCAGCCTTGGCAACAGAGCAAGACTCCATCTCAATAATAATAATAATAAAAATAAAAGATAAAAAGAGACTGGGCATGGTAGCTCATGCCGTAATACTAGCACTTCGGGAGGCCAAGGCAGGAGGATCACTTGAGCCTAGGAGTTTGAGACCAGCCTAGGCAATATAGTAAGACTCCATCTCTTTTTAAAAAAGTTTTTATATATTTAAAAAAATAACCCTGGTGTGGTGGCTCATACCTGTAATCCCAGCACTTTGGGAGGCTGAGACAGGAGGATTACTTGAGTCCAGGAGTTCGAGACCAGCCTGGGCAACATAGTGAAACCCTGTCTCTACCAAAAAATAAAAAAATAAAAAAGGTACAATAGAAAAAGAAAACCACTATGTAGAGAGAATGGAGGACTTAAGAGGAGATTGGGGGAAAACATACTCTTACGTGCTGGGTATGTGTGTTGGCGCATAGGAATCAATAACAGAAGACATAAAAGAGTGAGAAAAATAGGCAAATTAAAAAGAGTATAGTGTCAGGGAAGGTAAAAGTCAGGTTTGTTAACCATGTCAGATAATGCAGAGAAATCCAGATGCAAAAAGACCAAGCAGGTATTTGATTTGAAAATTAGGCTCATGCCTATGGGAGGAAAAGAAAATTAGACCACTGGAGGACAGCTCTAGCACATAGACGTGAACACTCATGGGAGTTAATGGCTTGAGGAGTGAATAGCAGGTGAGGGAATAGAAATAAGGGCTGCTGACTACCCCTGGTTAAGGGAGGTAACAGGCAGGGTGCTTGAGGGGAGAAAGTAGGGTGAAAGTGAGTTGTTTGTAGATGACTTGCATGTTTGTAGTGTTAAGAGGAAGGAAGGCGTTAGAAGGAAGCCTTGAAAGGTCAGGGGCTTGGTGAGGACAGGAATCTTTTTTTTTGTTTGTTTTTTAAGACAGTATCTCACTCTGCCTTCCCAGCTGGGGAGTGCAGTGGTGCATCTTGGCTCACTGGCAAACA